GTCACCACCAGAGGCTGCCCCCTGGAGTGGGCAGATGTTTATGTCAGAGTGCTGACCCGCTGTCTCATACCTCTGAAGGCCACCATTGCCCAATTTTTCTCCCTAAGAGCCTCCGTTGAAAGCTGTTGCTGTTGATAGCTGTGCCTGTTGTTTGGAACCTATTACATGTCTACCCTTTGGATGCAGCCGCTGAAGTCTCATTCACTCTGGAGGGAGTCCGTGTGTTCGTAGCCAGAATTGAGGTCTTGATGGTTGGCTGAGACTAGAAGGTTGGGATCCTTTGAGGGGTGGGCAGTCTTGGGTCAGACCCCTCCACTTGGCAAACAGGTCCCTGGTTTCCCCTTATGCTTCCTGATGGGCTGCTTAGCTGTAAATTGCTTATGAGTGTATGACTCTCTAGAGAGGATCCCCCATTTCCCCTGGAATTAAAGAATTTGGAAGGTCAAAAGTACTTTAAGGTCCTCTAGCCCTGTACTCTTTTTTTTTTTTTTAAATATATTTTATTGATTTTTTTACAGAGAGGAAGGGAGAAGGATAGAGAGTTAGAAACATCAATGAGAGAGAAACATCGATCAGCTGCCTCCTGCACACCTCCTACTGGGGATGTGCCCGCAAACAAGGTATATGCCCTTGACCGGAATCGAACCTGGGACCCTTGAATCCACAGGCCGACGCTCTATCCACTGAGCCAAACCAGTCAGGGCTAGCCCTGAACTCTTATTTATTTATTTAGAGAGGAAGGGCTGGGCGGGGGTGGGGGCTGGGGGGGGAGGAGAGACAAAGACAGACACATCGATATGTTGTTCACTTATTTATGCATTTGTTGGTTGATTCTTCTATGTACTCTGACTGGGGATTGAACCTGCAGCCTTGGTGTATCGGGATGATGTTCTATCCAGCTGAGCTACCTGGCCAGGGGCTAATCCAGCCGTGGGCAAACTACGGCCTGCAGGCCAGAAATGAATAAAACTAAAAAAAAAAAAAAAAAAAAAAAAAAGACCATACCCTTTTATGTAATGATGTTTACTTTGAATTTATATTAGTTCACACAAACACTCCATCCATGCTTTTGTTCCGGCCCTCCGGTCCAGTTTAAGAACCCATTGTGGCCCTCGAGTCAAAAAGTTTGCCCACCCCTGGGCCGCTAACCTGTACTTTTTTTTGTTTTGTTTTGTTAATCCTCACCTGAGGATACTTTTTCCATTGCTTTTTCAGAGAGAGTGGGAGGGAGGGAGGGGGAGAGAGAGAGAAACAGAGAGAGAAACATGGTTGTGAGAGAGCCATATTTACTGGTAGCTTCCCTCAGGGGGCCCCTGATCAGGAGTTGAACCCAGGACCCTTCTGGCTGATGCTCTAACCACTGGGAACACTGGCCAGGGCCTAGCCTTGTACTTTTTAATCTTTACTGCTGATGACACCTTGGAGAAGGTGAAGTAGGCATGGCCCTTCTTCCCAGGAAATTGCATCCAGATATAGAACTGTGTGTGACACATGGATCATGGGTCCCTGGAGCACATGCATGGGCTCCAGGTAAGAAGTTCTGGTCTGACTACTTTCTCTCCTCTCCTCCCATTTTACAAGTGTGGCCTGGGGCCCTGAGAAGTAGAGACTGGCCTGGGGTTATCTCCTGTTTAGCTGTCTTTATTTTCTCACCATGCCTCCTCGTATGACTTCTATTTCCTTAGTCCTGAACCAACCCACAGGCAGCCAGCCGTGGGTGGTAAGGAGAGGCTTATCAGAATTTTCTAGGCTTGAGAACTCAGAGTCCATCCCCCAAACGCACACTCAAGAGCATCTCAAACCAGCATGCATCTGAGTCCTCCAGAGGGCTTGTGAAACCACAGATGGTTGGGCCCTGTCCTAGAGTTTCTGATTCTGTAGCTCTGGCGTGGGGTCTGAGAATGTGCGTTTCTAGTAAATGCCCAAGTACAAACCACTGCTGCTCGTCTGGGACTTCGTACTGGGAACCATCGTTCCTGGGATCTCAGTCGCAGGTGGGGAACTGCCCAAGGAGGAACTCGTTAACTCTGGAGGGAGTCAGTGCTCTTTCTGGCTCTTTCTGGCTCCAAAGGTTGGCTACGTGTGGGCGGGGCTGCCCCATGTTCCAGCTCAGCAGTAGCACTCCTGGGAGTGTTTGGGACTATTGTGGGGGCACTTTTCGTTGTCAGTTTGGGAGTCCTGATGTCTGAGTGGGAGGATGCTGAGGTGGTTCTTGGGATGAGGAAGTGCTGTCCCTTCCAAAATTCAGTAGTGCGTGTTCTACTGAGAAACATCAAAAGACACTAATTTCTCCCCAACATGCCCTGGTTTTCTCATTGGCGTGTCTTTCCTCATGTACTTTCTTCCTTTAAAATTTACCCACAAACGGAGCAACACATACAAAATCAACACCTTTGTCCGCTTGCTTTTGGTTTTTGCCTGGCCAGCATGCCATTTCTTCTGGAACACATCTCCTGTGAGTTCCCAAAACACCTTTCTTAAAAACTCACAGTCTGACACCTGAGCAAAGATACTGGGTTTATCAGGTCTACGTAGAAGAAATTCCAAACACCTACCTTCCTTTGATCAGCCCCAACTTTGTCCATATGTTGATGTTTTTTATTCTGAGTCAGAACTCTGTCATCTGCTCATTAGTGGTTTTGGTTTGCACCTGCTGCCTTTTTTTTTTTTTTTAAATATATCTTTATTGATTTCACAGAGGAAGGGAGGAGAGAGAGAGAGAAACATCGGTGATGAGAGTGAATCATTGACCACCTGCCTCATGCACGTCTCCTATCAAACCTGGGACCCTTCAGTCCGCAGGCCGACACTCTATCCACTGAGCCAAACCAGCTAGGGCTGTTTTTTTTTTTTAAATGTGAAATTGAACCTCCTAGATATTTCATTATTTTATTTTGATAGAGTTGTCCAGGCACATGGTAAGTACCATACACAAGGGTTACACAATGCAAAACAGTCCCGTTTCCACACCCAAGCAGGTTCTTCTCGCCTGAGGCAGCCGCCAGTCCCCATTTAGAACTCTATTGTACTTTCGTGTTCATCCAGGAATATTCTAGGCTTATGCCAACGGAGATACTGTACATATATTACTTTGGGGTGGGGGTATGTGTGTTGGTCTGATAATGGTGCTAGACATGTGTGGCTTTTTAAAACACGATGCAGAAGCTTGGAGATCGTCAAGCGTCAGTCCACGCGGAGCTGCCTCATTCCTCTCCGTGCTGCAGAACAGCCTGCTGTGTGGCTGGAGAGGATTATGAGGCCAGTCCGCTATTCGTGGGCCCTGAAGTCGGTTCCAGTCTTAGAGACAGCACACAGCACCGTGGCGGAGCCTCTTGTGTGGGCTTGTTCCTCTGTGCCTGTGTGTCTAGGAGAGGACTGTTGGGTCAAAGACTTTGTGTGAGAAAGTGAGAGTGTTGATGGTGGCGTGGGGGGAGGGTCCCTGCGGGCAAGGGGAGGCGTTCTCTGGGGAATGTGCCAATCCCAGGCTGCACCCTTGAGCGAGTTTCCTCACTCACTAGCTCTGTGTGCCTCTGGGCCAACCCTTTGGGCTCTCCAGGCCTCCATTTTGATGTCGGTGGGGTGAACCCCTCAACTCTGGGGTCTGTTCTCCCTCAAGGTTAGCATTTAATTGCCTCTCAGGGCTGTGTCTCAGCGAGAGACCCTGGACATTGAATCCGGATTTCCCTGCAGCCTGTCTGGGGAGACTGGAGAGTTCCAAAGCAGGGACTGTCACAGCAGTTCACTGTCTCGCTTTGCGAGCCTGCCGCAAGCTGCTCCGCCTTTCCGACCAAAAAACCACTGGGAGGCCTTGCATGTGGCCCTTTTGGACCCTGTTAATCTGCCCCCGGCGACTCCTGTCCAGACACGGAGGCTGGTGACACAGGGTGCAGCCTGCGTGCTGGGACGCGCCTGAGGGTTAAAATTGGAGGAGGAATGTCCTCGGGCTGTCTTTGGGGATAACCATTTTTCTGGACCCCCCCCCCAGTCCCGTCCCGTCCCATCCCATCACCTGTACTCTTCGCATAGCTCTTTCCTCTTCGCTGCCTGTAGCTTTCATTTCTCAGCACGTGAGGCACGCCAGGCCGAGCCATTGTATCACCCTAAGCTAACAAGTCACCTGTCGGGCATGGAATGGATTCACGGTCTTGCAGGTGAAGATTGGATGGTGGAGGAAGTATATCTGTTTAAATGAGATTCTGGGAGAATTAAAATGGAAGAGAATGGATTGACAAAGGTGTGAGGTTAGCATTTCACGGATGAGACTCAGTGAGAAGGTAATTTGTGCTGGCCTCTTTGGAGGGGAGTTGCAAACAATCCCCAGCGGTGGCTGAGCCATGAGGACTTCCTGGTGGGTGGGTGATACATATATTTTTTGCATAGTTACACATGGTTTGCCTGATAAACATGAATAAATGTTGTCTTCTATAAAGAAGTATGTTTGCCTTTGCTTTCTTAAATGTGTGGCCTTCCTGCTCTATCTTTCATGGTTTCCTGCTCTTGCCATCAGGAACGGATGTGGAGAAAAATATTTCTTTGGGCTAAAGGATGATACCGGTGCCTGTGTGACGACTCGTGGTAGCTGGGTCGTCGCCTCGTCCTCAGAGATCAGTAGGGAAGGGGGGATTGTGGCAAAACGGAGGACACATTTTCATGTAAAAATGGCTAGCCGGCATTCAGATCTGTATCTGTTGCCATAAGGCCATGGAAGGAAGGTCCTGATCTGTTTCTTTTTAAGAGAAGCCAAAAATCTAGGTGATTTTGTAAAGTCTCCCAATTTTTATATTCTGGTAGTGAGTTAAATTTGTTACAGAAATGTTATGCAGGCCACAGAAAGACCATCTGACCTCTGAGATGGGTAACAGAAAGGAGGGTGGGGGGAGTGTATTCTAAGGAGGAGGAACCCCGAAACGAAATGGGTTGTGTCCTCCCCGCCCCCTCCCTGAGGGGGCCGAGGCCCCCCTGACTGCTTTAAAATGTGTGGTCCTGTGTGTCTCTTTCAGATCCTGGCTCCGCCGACAGAACAGCCCCGAAAAGAAAGTTCCCCAGCCCTCCGCATTCTTCCAATGGCCACTCGCCACAGGACACATCCACAAGCCCCATTAAAAAGAAAAAGAAACCCGGCTTACTGAACAGTAACAATAAGGAGCAGGTAAAGGGCCACCGCGAACGGTGTCCACACGGTGGGACAAAGGCTGGAATGAGAAGACGGCAGCTCTCGGGGGGCGGCGGGTGGGGGCTGGGGTTTAAGAGCCGGTGTTCTTGGCATTTAGCAACCTGCCTGACGCTGGCTGTCATGGACGTAGAGCAGCACAGGGCAGCTCAGGAAGGGCCTGTGTTGAAATTTGTGGCGGGTTTTCAGATCTGTTTTGGGGACAGGGCAGTCGGCCAGATGAGACAGAGAAATTGTGCTTTAGGGCTTGGGGCTTTTTCTTGGGTTTCTGTTTCATCCTTTAGGAAGGTTCCCCCCTGTGGCTGGAGAGTATTTTCCTCCTGGGCCACGCCAGCAGGATGGCTCTCACCTCCGCCTGGAGGTGTGTGTATGGCTGAGACATGCTCTCTTCTGGTCTCAGTTTTCTCATCTGTAAAATAATGGGTTTAGGTCTGTGGTGAGAGACAGCTGCCCTCCCCACCCATTGCTCACGGTAGACTGGTAATTACTCACCATTCCTTCTCACTGTGCAGAGCCCTGGACTGCAGACCCCACCCTCCCTGGGCAGCCAGGGCCAGTCAACTAAACACAACATCTGTTCGCCATCTTGGATCATACTAAGGAAACGTAGCTTTAACATTACCTGATGCAGGCTAGATATATTTTCGATTAAAAAAAAGAGAGAGAGATGCTTTAGTGGACCAGGAGGCCAAATCTCCTGACACTGGAGGAGGCAGGGTGACCCGTGGTACCACTTAAGTGAGGAGCCCTCGGATGTATTCATGCATTTTCTGCGTTAGGGAGCGCCGGAGTGGGCTCTGGGGATTTGAGGTTGAAGGAAACAAGATTATTGCTTTCACGGGAAGAGACCTAGCAGCGGCTAAATGCCCAGAACTGTGAGAGGGTATGTTTCTGCACACGAATCTATTTTCATTCTCAAATTATATAGCGAAATGCCAGCTCTGCTTTTTGCTCCGTGGCTGTGGGCAAGTTAACCTCTTTGTGCCTCGTTTTCCCATCTCCTGAAATGGGGATAATGACGCTGCTACTATTGATTTCCTAAGGTTGTTAAGATGAATTGAGCCAAGTGACATAAATAATTAATAATAATAATAATAATAATAAAAATCAAGCCAGGCCCTACACTCCATAGAATAAACACACAAACTACAACAGCAGCTCTAGAGATGTCCCAGGCCTGTGCTGGTCAGTATGATAGTCACAAGCCACGGGGGGCCCTTGAGCAGGTGCAGATGGCAAATGTAACCAAGGAACTGAGTTTCTAGTTTAAATGTCAGTGGCTCTCTGGCTTGCAGCTACCGTGTTGGACTGCACAGGGCTAATTGTATTAGGAGGCGAAACTGGAGGGTCTGAAATAAATTCGGGGGGGTCGCAGTGTGAAAGACATATGTAATAGTGTTGGTAATAATAAAAGCAGTGCTTACACTGTGCTATCACATGACATTATAGTTTCAGATCCTCCCCGCCCCCCATTTTCCGGTGTCTATGTTAATGTTTATAATAGCCCCTTGAGTAAGGGCTCTCATCATCTCCATTTCACAGATGAAAACACAGAGGGTTAGAGAGGTTAAGGTGCCTCCTCAGCGCGAGTAAGAAGCTGCCTTTGAGCTTAGATCCTGTCACCCAGGAGCTACCATCGCTGTTGAGATTAAAGACTAAGAAAGAAGCATGAAGGCCACAGATAATCCCCAAACCTTGACTTAGCCAGCCATTAAGTTCCTGGGCAACACTTTCTCACCAGCTGCCCCATAAGTCACAAAGCAGATATTGTCCCCTCCTTGCGCCTCCTCCCTGTGTGTCCACCACGTACAAACACACACACACACACACACACACACACTTGAGTCCCTACCTGTCCTTTAAGAATTGGCTCCCATCTCTCTTTCTGGAAGCTGGCCAGCTTGGACAGCTCATGCTTAGCCTCTCCCTTCTCCATCCCTGTGTTAATACCATCCCTATAACACTTAAACCTCCCAACCACATTAATGCATTTGCCAGTCTGTGCCCCCCTCTGGACCATTGTCCTCAGAAAAGTATCCGACGGTTGCTGTCTCATCTCCCCGGAGCTTGACCCCGGGTGGGAGCTTATGAATATAGAACGCGCTCAGGATGTGGAAAATAGCAAAGCATGGGTGACTACCCACGGGGCGCGATTATGCTCCTGAGTAATCCGTCACCCTCAGTCCTGGTAGAAGAGCTTGCAGGACCGAGACACTGGAGGGAAAGCGTCGCAAACCTAGAGACTGGGCTCTTTCTAGCCCCCTGCACCTGGGGAACTGGCTGTGTGACCTGGGCGGTTGTTTCCTATCTCTGAGCCTCAGTTACATTGTCAAATATAAGGGTTGTGACTAGGGACATCATAAGGTTGCTTGTAGGTTTGTTTTTCGGTTGCAAAACTCCCTGGGGCTGAGCAGCCAGGAGCTGGCAAAGGAGAATAGCCTAGCTCAGTGGTCGGCAAACCGCGGCTCGCGAGCCACATGCGGCTCTTTGGCCCCTTGAGTGTGGCTCTTCCACAAAATACCGACTTCTGCACACGGGCCACGAAGTTTCAAGCGCACTGTACGTGTGCGCCCGCACGTGGTATTTTGTGGAAGAGCCACACTCAAGGGGCCAAAGAGCCGCATGTGGCTCGCGAGCCGCGGTTTGCCCGACCATGGGCCTAGCTGTAAAGAGAAGAAATGGCTGACCTCGACTCTGTAATTCAGTGTAGCATAGAAGGTTTGCAGGGTAAGCGCAACCCCTCTCATGCAGAATCTGCTTTCCTAAGAGGAACTAATTCTTCTGGACACTTTCCTCTCCCATTCCCTTCCCTGGCCTCTTTCTTTCTTTTAGGATTATGGAATTAAAACCAAATCGTAGGTCGCACATGCTGTGTTTAACCAACATAATATAATTCCTGTTAGTCACCCAACATTTGAAGATTATGAGATTTTATTTATTTTTTATTTTTTAATTTTTTTAAAATATATTTTATTGATTATTTTACAGAGAAGAAGGGAGAGGGAAGGGAGAGGGATAGAGAGTTAGAAACATCGATGAGAGAGAAACATCGATCAGCTGACTCCTGCACACTCCCCACTGGGGATGTGCCTGCAACCAAGGTACATGCCCTTGACCGGAATCGAACCTGGGACCCTTCAGTCCGTAGGCCGATGCTCTATCCACTGAGCCAAACAGGTTAGGGCGAAGATTATGAGATTTTAGATAACAACTTATATTTCTGAGTTCCTAGAGAACTCGGAGAATTCTAACAACAGTTGGAGCTGAGCACATCCTGCTCCTTTATTATTTTAAAAAATATTTTTATGTTTTTATTGATTTTGGAGAGGAGGGGGGAGGGAGAGATAGAAACATCAAGGATGAGAGAAGATCATTAATCAGCTGCCTCCTGCATGCCCTCTACTGGGGATCGAGACCTGGTCATGTGCCCTGACCGGGAATCAAACTGTGATTTCCTGGTTCAGAGGTTGACATTCAGCCTCTGAGCCACACCGGCTGGGCGATCCTGCCCCTTAGACGCAGGGCCTGTGTGCTCCGCTTTTCCCCACTCCCCCCCCTCCCTTTAGTGTCACCCTGCCTGCTTCGCTCATTCCTTCTGCCTTTGGCTCTCTTAGGTGTTTGGGTTATTTTTATTTTTGGTACATATCAAGGTTTTCTGCCTCCTTCCTTTTTTTCCCCTTCACTCTAATTTCTTTTTTTGTGTTAATCCTCACCCGAGGATATTTTTCCATTGATTTTTAGAGAGAGTGGAAGGGAGGGGAGAGACACAGAGAGAGAAACATCGATGTGAGACAAATACATCGATTGGCTTCCTGCATGTGCCCTGACCAGGGCCTGGGATTGAACCCATGACCCTTCAGTCCATGGACTGACACTCTATCCACTGAGCCAAACCTGCTAGGGCTTCACTCTAATTTCTCTTCTGTATTCTAGGGTTCTAAAAAGAAAGCCATTCTGGCCTTACAAACACCCCCACCTCCCCCCATATTTTTCCATTTTTGGTAGCAACTTTTTATTAGCGGGTGGAGATACAGGTTGAGTTTTTAAGTTGGAAGCCCATTTCACCCATTTTTCATATATTGGGGATTCAATACTTTTAGGGGGAATTTCAAGAAGAGCTTTAAAAACATTATTTTTTTGGGGAAAAAGTATTCTAATGCTTATAATTAATTTTTAATGCCTCTTGGTCCAGTGGTTTCACCCCTAAAAACATGTAGGTGTTTTTTCTTGGGACTGCTGGAGGGGATGTCCCAAAGCCTGGAAGGGTGCTCCTGGCATTTCGTGGAGCGGGTCCGGTTGCCAAGCACCCTGCAGTAGAAATACCTTGTCCCCAAATGACATGAGGCCTAGATTGCAAAATACCATCTTTCCTTTAATTCTTGGGTCATTTGAGTTTGAAGAGCCCTTTTGGAAGATCCTCCCTCCCTCCCACCCTTCATTTTTCTCTCCCCCCCCTTCCCTCCCTCCTCCTTCCCTCATCAAAGGATTTAGAAATAATTGCTAATAGACTTGTACAAAAAGGCCTTAGGTGTATATTTGATCAGATATGGCAGAGAAATCCCCTCCTCACGTACAGGGTGTATACATGTCATAAATGGGTGGCTAGGACTTATTTTGTTGGGTCCATGCATTGTCTTAAAAACGAGGAAGCTTCACAGAAGTCCTTTGCTGGGCAGGGGCAGTGTATTAGCAGTTGTACCAGGTCAGGTGGCACCGTGGTACGTGCCTGCCTCGCTGCCTCAGCCCTGGAGCTGAGGGGAAGTGCTCCCCTAGGGTGGGTATGAGCTATGTCCTCCTGCTGTCTCCCCGAGTCCAGGCTGAATGCCAGGGCCATTCCTCACACTCCAAGACCAGGTCGTCCATCTTACTGCAAGACCCATGCTTTTATCCGTGCAGGAGAACAAAAGCTGGAGAGAGGACTGCTTTATTATTTATTTATTTATTTATTTATTTATTATTTGTTACCTACGTGGCCCCTG